ACGTTATTACCGCCTATTGTCTCACAAGAACTCAATGAATGTCATTTCGACTCAAAGTGGGAACAGATATTCAGCAGAATTAGTGGTCATTTGCCTTCAATTTGTGAAAATCGTCGTTACGTTTATAATCATTGCTTTTTAATCACGTTTTCCTATTTTTATTGTATATTTATTACCAAAAAAACCAAATCTCAATCATTAATAAAAAATATATTTACACTTTTAAAACTATAAAATCATTGTTTCAGTTATTTATTCATTTCCATTACTAACAGAATATTCCGTGAATTCTGTGGCAAAATATTTTGTTTGTCATTAAGTTTTAGATAAGAAAAACAAAAAGCAGTTATTAATAGACGAGAAATATTTGTCTATTGAATGTAATGAACAAATTGTGTTCACTAGAGATGAGTCGGAAATAATTTTGAATACATTTTTGATAAGATTTGGCAAAAATAAAGTTTGAAATAATGTTTTGACGAATGAATTGCAATGAAGTGATGATCCCTTCAATGCATACAACCATTGAATGAGTGATTGAATCGTATATTAAATCGCTTTAAAGTTGTGAACAAAACATACAATCAATTGATTGAGTCTTACAATGGTTTAGATCCCAAACACAACCATCGCTTCAATGGATGCCAACACTCACTCCAGCGGCGCATCTAATGGACGCACTCTCGAGGATGTGGTCAACCATTTGCACGCAAACCACGAGACGAAGAATGAGTGCTCAACGGATCCGATGGACAGTAAAGAGGAAACCAATGATGCGATCAATGATGGCATCGATGGCAACACAAGCACTCATACCAATGGCGCCAACGCTTCCCAATCCACAAGTGATTTGAATGGTGACCAAAATGTCACCACAAATGAAGACAATAATCACAACGAAAACAATGCAAACAATACTGAAGTGAATGCCGAAAGCAATGGATCTACAAATGATTCCAACGATTCTAATGACAAGTTCTTGGCCTTCGATGACGACGACGAAGAGGTATTGTGTTGTCATTTGATTGAATGCATCCATTGATTGATTATATCTAACCATTGATCGCAACGATAGGACAATCTGTTGAGTTATGATCCGACGCCTGACACCTCTTATCCATCGGTTAAATGGCATTCATTACAACAATTACAACAACGAGAATACGGAAAACTTATGGTTTGATCCACTAATCCATTCATGTTTCAAGTGTTTAGCTTTTGCTTAATCATTGATTTTTGTTATGTCCGCTGAACAGAGGCCTGGAAATAGCCGTCCAATCAATTCATATGAATCGCAGGCGTTTCGCAGATATGCATACAATTCGTTGTATTTCTTTCAAAGACTTGAATTAATGTCTAAATTTGAAGAACACACAGGTTTGCCTCTCTCTCTCTCTCTCTCTCTCTCTCTCTCTCATTTTATAAATAATGTGTTGAATGTAAAGGTTGTGTGAATTGTCTGAATTTCAACAACTGTGGCGATCGTCTGATATCGGGAAGTGATGACTTGCGAGTGGCCGTCTGGGACTGGCAGAAGTCACATCTCATTCACAAATATCACACCGGTTTGTATTATCCATTGATTAAGCCATGAGTCGAAGCGCTAATTATGCGGACCATTATTAGGTCACTCGTCAAACGTGTTTCAGTGCCGGTGGTGTGCAGACCAACACCATATCGTGAGCTGTGCCCGCGATGGTCAGGTCAGGATATGCAACGTTAACCGCAACGGTAGCACTGTATCCAACAAATTGGCGCAACACAAGGGGGCCGTCCATAAACTCACTCTCACTGCACCACAAGTCATACTCAGTTGCGGCGAAGACAGCGTTGTCTTCGAGATTGATCTCCGAGACAACAAACCCACCAAACTATTGAATGTCAAGTAATTGTCCCCTCATTTCATTGCTCTTTAAAATTAACTACTATTTGATTGAAGCAATTATGCATTCATTGAACAAATTAATATGACTTAATTGTTGTGTAATTAGTTTTAGGCATTAATATGCGGTCTCTTTAAAGGTGTGAAAGGAAACGGCCAAACTTTGTAGGGCTGGGCTGTCACGAGAACCTCTGTGCACGCCATTCAGTACATAGTACTGACACACTATTAAACCCATATTTAGTTGTATTCAATGTTTAAATTGTTAGAATTGATTAGAAAATTAGATTTAATTGTGATTTTTTTGTGTATAAATATATATTGCGTGAGACGTATAGTTATAGTCTTAAGCATTTTGAAATGAATCTATTTTTAACCCATATTTTAATATAAAAAATCTTGTTTTGAAGAAATCTATTTTTATGTCTCAAATACAATAAACAGGTTTTCTATGAAATTAAGCTAAAAATATAATAGATTTTGACATTTCTACTATTATTTGGCATAAATCTTGATTGTTGTGTATATTTTTATTATTCAATCAATTTCTATAACAATAGAAATATATAGCGAAAAATTTTATCGAGTAATTACTGAATGAATTACTGTATTTGGTATTGATTTTGAATTAATTCACATAAATAGGAATGCCAGCCAACAAAGGGTACCCCTATATTCAGTTCACGCAAATATGGTGTTTAATCCGTTACAGTTTGCGGTCTCCGGAAGGGATCCATTCGTTCGCATATATGACCGCAGATTTCTTGTAAGAAAGACTAACTTTCTATTACTCTGTAGTAATGAATTTGATTGAAATCTGCTTTAATATACTTTGCTATGAATGACAGCCCATTAGCGAACCGAACGGAACTGCGAATCCAGTGTTAAGTATTTGTCCCGAAAAGTTGAAGCAAACGAAACATTCGGTCACTTGTTGTCAATTTAACTCAACGGCTGATAAACTATTGGCCACTTATAACGA